CAAGTCTTAACCACGTTCTTGCTTTTAGGTGGTGCCAGCTGAATTCCAGGGTCGATAGTAGGCTTACACGTCAGGACTTGTATGCAAACTTCCCTGCTAACAGACAAATTGACAACATTCAATAATACACTTAACGATTTGACAACAGGTAATATTTGTAAGATTGTTAGTATCAAAATATACATTGTACCTTATTAAATGATAGTTTATTTAAAATCTTACTAACTAAAGAATAGTTAAAATCAGAAATTGCTTATACTTGAAAAAATCTAGAAAGCATGTATTTAATAATTCATTTCCAACAGGTAGGTACTATTAAACCAATATTTATCACGGAAAAAACAAAACAGTTATTTTCACTATAAAAATAGTAAAATTAACTGTATTATACAATTGCTATAGGGATAGCTATAATGTTAGTCAGATTTACTAAAAATATATAGTTATGATTTTATAGTTAACCAGACAAAAATTATAGTGTTTTGTACCAAACATGTTTAGTACTCTTTACTATACAATTTAATTATTTGAACAATATTTATAGTAATTTGAATATAATTTTATAGTACTCTTTACTTTTAAATTTATTTATCTGACAAAGTTTATAGTAATTTGAACATATCTTTATAGTACTATGTACTTTTTAATTTAGTTATTTAAATAATATTTATAGTTATATAAAAACAAAACTTATAGTGTTGACGACTATTAACCAAAGTGAAATTTACTACAATAAAACTTCTTCACGATAACAATTAGTTCCCCGACCTATACCTAGTGATAAGTAGCATACCTATAAATTTAAATATTAAAGTATTGAAGTTTGGTTATTTATAACAGAACCTAGTTATACAGGTTATTTTTCTCGGACAGTAAGGCAATTTTCAGTTTTAATTTGAATATAATAATTAATATTAAAATTGAAATTTGATTATTAAGTTATAAATTGTTCATGTTTTTTTGCAAGTACACAATTTAAAAGATATAATGTGTTAAATTTACATTTTATTAAACTTTCATTACACATATTGATACAAATTATAATATATATTAAATAATACAAAACAACTTTTTACATATAAAAGTACCAAACATATTTTACAAAACAATAGACAATATGTAATTAATTATATACAATATTAAGTTATAATAACAATGTAATTAATAACTATATATAATATGAACATTAGAGATATAAAATTACTATAAATATTATATCTAATACAATAAATGCCTACTGTATTATAATAAATTAAAGTATTCAGTATATTGTAACAACAGTAGGTACATTTCTGAAACTGTACAAATAAAAATAACAATTTAAAAATATTAAATATATTTTCAAATTTATGTATACATTTTTATAAATACACTTCCATTAGAAATGCTTGTATGGTGAACAGGAAAACTATTATCCAAATCATTTAATTTTGTACATTTTAATTCAGAAGTTAACATAACATTAAATGCTCCAAAATGTTCATCATAATGAATAGTATTAAACAAATTATAAATAATGAATGATTCATCTTGTATGATAAAAATACATTTAATTAATCCGAATATAGGTAACATGTAATTTTCATCGCATATATTAATAACCACTGACATATTTTTTGTATTGTATAAAATTCCCTTGATATTTATCCAAGAAACAAAGGATACATTATTTAAATCATAATGATCTGAATATCTATTATATAATTCAATGTCCATTGGACTTAATTTTATTATTGGTCCTATTCCCGTATGAATGGTATAATGATCTATTTTAGTTGATAATAATCTATAAGAAAGCCTTAATTGTTGTTTTAGACATAATGTTTTTTGAATATTTTTTCTTGATGTTATTGAATGAGCAGTATTTTTCAATTCTCTGTGCTTGCCTTCAAATCGCATTGCCCAAAATAATGATAAAGGGCCAGATTTTTTAATGATTAAAGGATAATGAACCATATGATGGTGTTTTGGCTTTAAATTTATACGAAATATTTTAAGGTATGTAGTGTGGTGTTCGGTAATTAGAGCTTTAAGGAGAATTGAGTCTTCAAATTTAATCCACTTTGATAAAATTATACTTAAAATTTTATCAAGTATAATGTAGATTGACCAAATTTCTGAGTTAAGAGGAACTAAATCACCAATAATAAGTCCCAAGTTTTTAACAAAACATAGCATTTCACTTGCTGACATTTTCAGTTTACTTCCTTTACCTTTCAATGTTTCACTAGCAATTAATGTTGGTCGATTTCGGAAATCTATGGATCCATAATCAAATAATTCTATTCTACTATTTGGTTTATCAACTGTAAAATATTTTAGGTCAAAAATCATTATTTTTAGCATCAAACCTATATCATAATTACATACTCCCTCTAGCATGTCATGCATTATGTCCACACAATAATTCTGTGTCACGTGAAAAGAACTTATTTCATTCCAAACACATGATTCTTTTACTCCAGTTAATAATACTTCATTTCAGGGCTTAAAACCGTTATCAATCAAGTCGGTAATAAATTTTTGAAAACCGGTAACCGGTTATCGTTTAATTTTGATATTTTTTTAACCGGTAACCGTTTCTTTAAAGATATTTCAAACACTATGATAACCGTTAATCGTTTAAAAACCGTTGATTATATTTTTTTGTAATCGGTTACCGGTTAAAACCGGTTCTTAAAAATCATTTTTTTTCAATTTTTTAATCATATTTTTGAAACAGTTTATTTAGGTTATTCGTGGGTTGATAACATAACTATTATTATTACAAAATCAAAAACTTAATATGCTTTAATTTGGTCGATTTCCTTCAATTATTTAAATATTTATTCTTTCAAACTGCTTTAAAGTTTAAAACATAATGATCAAGATAATGGTGATCTTAATAAATCAAAAAAATAAACGAAAAAAAATGTTATTGTTATAATTTTCTTCTTTATAACCGTAAAAAACCGAAATAATATATAATAATTTTGTACTCATTTTTGTGAAGGGCAAAAATGTGTTTCTCCAAGTTTGACGAATGCTTACCAGATATATACTTGGTACATCCCACGACGATGTTTATGACGGTATTTATAATATTAGTTATACAATTATACCTATATATATATATTGGTTATTGATATTCACAACAAATAAGCAATACTCGACGACAATTAATTGGGGAAAAAAATTTAAAAATAGGTGGAAAATTAAATTCAACTATAATGTAATCATGACATAATTCAAGTATTAAATTCCACGAAAAAAACGTTAATTTTTTGGTCGGGAATAGATTTTGGTTATAATACCGGAATTGAAAAAACGAGGTAACCGCTTTGATGTTAATATTTAGATATTTACCTTGATAACCGATAACCAATAACCGCTTCCAGCATTCCAAAACTAAGAACGGTTTTTGGTTTTCAAATTTACGGTTTTTTACCGGTTTTCGTTACAAACCGGTTACCGGTTTTAAGCCCTGCTTCATTTATTTCAAGATCATCAGCATAATTTATATAGTTTCTAACATTCCTATCTACCTTTGTTGTTTGTACGTGGCATTCATTTTTAATTGTTTTACAAAACCTGCATGGATATCTGGAAACAAAACTTTCAGTAAACCCTAATATAGAATGTAAGCCCAAATTATCTCCTATAATCAAACCCAAAGAGAAGAATATATGATGAACCTTATTATTGACTGTAACAAAAATACCAGTATTTTCTAAATAATTTAATTCAGAAATTAAGTCTTTAAAAATAACACTATTCCCAAAATCTCTTTTCTCATTGGTTTTAAAAAGTGATACCAAATATATTTGATCTAAAGACGAAGACAACTCTGGAGGTAAACATGCTAAGGATACATATATCGCGCCTAACTTTTGCGAACCAGCATGCGTACCGAGTGGATTGTTGACTTCAAAATCGTCAAAATATAAGAATAATGGTAAAATAAGTTTATTTGTATTGTTTGAACATTTTTCTTGTCATAGTTGGAACTGCATAAAGTTATAAGTTAATTTACTGGATTTCATATTTTCTGTATATTTTAATATTACATCTAATAAATTTGAGTGTTCTAAATTTTTTTTAATATATCTCGAAGTGAAATTGAGCATATTTCAACATCTATAGGCTCTACTACAACTATTCCATTTACTAATTTGTCACCTAATCTGTGACCAATAACTATTTCTTTAGGATGGATTAATACCCCTAATTCTTCAAGTTTTTCAAATCGCCTATACTCTGTTTTCAAATTAACAAAGGGATCTGACAAAATTTTCATCTCACTAAGTATTAATGTTAATTCACCCTTGACATTATTATCACTGCATTTATTTACACATACGTTAATTTTAGAACTAAAAACTGTTACAATCATATCGATAAAATCTTGAACATCATTAATTAAAACATCAATTTTATTTCTAGGAATAACTGTATCACTATACCATTTACAGATCATACTTATAGCATTTAATCTTATTTTTATTAAATCATCAGCCAGAGGGATACTATAATTTTGTTCACCAATATTATCACTATCAAGAAATTCTTCATTTTCAGTAATCAGTAGTTTCTTCAAACAAATTAAATGTATTTATTTTTTTTAAATCCATATTAGAAGTAGAATCATAGTCATGCTGTTTCAGATGTCTTTTATAAGTATCAACATTGTTAAAAATCCGTAAACAACCCTCTAATGGGCAATTTAATTTTTCAATTGATTTTAAATCATAGTAAATATTAAAATGTATAAATAAATGATTGAGACATTGGGCCTCGTAATTACATATAAAGCAGCTTAACATTTTAAAATTATATTTGAGAAGAAATTGGAATTATTAATTGAATGTTTATTTATTATGTCAATAAATGTATACATGTAGCATGTTTACATAAAACAAAGAAAATCTTTTAAATAGGAACAACAGACTATAAAATATAAAACATAATTAATTAAACAATTAATACTATTATTCTATATAAACTCTATATAACTCAAATTATTACTGCAAATCCTTAATTAGGCTTTGGACACTTTTAAATTTTTTTTTTAAATTATTGTTTATTTTAAAAAAATAATCCTGAATGAACCACCATACCTGTTCAGCCTCTTGAGGATATTCTAAATTGAATGAATGAAATGATTTAAAGCATATTATGTCTAAGGCCTTGATGGGAGTTTCTAGTTTGTAATATATGTCATTAATAACTGTGTAGGTAGTAGCTGATTGTGTTATTGATTTCTTCAAGATTACCCACTATGGCAATGTATGGTTGAACTGTAAGCCCACAATTAAATGCCCTGTTCACTTTTTCTTCATGTGTTGTTTTGAGATCATTGATTTTCTATAAAAAGTTATTAAACTTATATTAATAAACAATTATTATAGTTACCTACTTATGTATTTAAATGCTTTATTTTATTAAAAATAATATATTAGTTATTGTTCTATAATTGAAACTTACAGTTATGTGTACTATAACTGCACAGGCTTGTTCTAATTTTGTTGGCCTCCGCATTGAATATTTTGTAACATTGTTCCCAGTGGTTTTCTTTGGTATTTTAATGTTAACTGGATTAAATAGGTAAGGCAATAATCGAATGGCAGCTAAATCATCATCGCCTAAAGTCATTTTAAATATTAGTATGTTAAATATATTATATTGTTATTATTTGTATGTGTATAAACATTACATGTATATAACATGCATTATGTATTATGTATTATGTATATAATACATAAGTATTTGTGTGCAGTTATTATTATACAGTTAAATTAAGACACTTGCCTAAATTATCAGCTGATAAAATTGTTTTAACCCAATTTTGTTGTTCTACATTAAAGTTGAATGTTCTACTTTTAAGATAATTTTTTAATTTATCTTTAAAAATATCAAACTTTTGTATCAGATTTTGATTTTTTTGAATATTTTTTTTTCTTTTTTAATATTGCAATATTTATCATACAGTTTACCTCGATTAGGGCTAACTTTATTGCCTTCTCTAAAATATGGAATGAAATAAACAAACTCAGATTCTGAAGGGAATAACTCTTCTATACCTATTATGTTAACATCAAAATAATTAAATAATATTTGCTATTTTTTTGTTTTTAATCAAAGACAATAAATAAAATATTGAGTATTATTATTATTTTATGGATTATTATAAAACAACTTGCATAGTAATTAATAATCATTAGTCAAATATACATTATGTTCTTATAATAAGTACCCTACATCAATCTTAATCACTTATGAAAAAAAATTTGTACCTTTTGCAATTTTGGAAAATTGAGACCTGTTAATTTTATTTGCACCTTCTGTATTGTATATAGCATCTTTTATCACTACTCCACAAAGCCGATTTCTCATTTTTTGGCATAATGTCCCATTTGAAGCATAATACTGTAGTATAATAACACCATCTTGGTATTTTTTTAATATGTGTTTGATAAAATGATCTAGTTTAGGTACAATTTAAAACTGTTTGTCGTATAATATATAAAATAATAAATTGATTGAACATATTCTTTTTATAGATATAGTAAATATATTTTTTTTTTTCAAAAATGAAATGACTTAATTAATTTGAACAGTGTTATACCTTTAGTGGAATTGATTTTACTGGAATTTTCCTCTATAGTTAGATCACTACAATTATCGCTATTAGTGGCTTCAATCACTGATAAATTGTCAAAAATAGTACTTTTTATATTTTTGTTAGGATTTATACCTTTACTGGAATTGATTTCACTGGAAATTTCCTCTACAATTAGATCACTACAATTATCACTATTAGAGTCTTCATTCTCTGATAAATTGTCAAAAATAGTACATTTTATTTTTTTGTTTGGATTTAAATTGTCTACACACATAAACAAAAAATATCATAAAGTAGGTATGTACAATGTTTTTTGTTATTTTTTTATAGTCATATTGTAAGAAATGAATAATGTATATTACCTATACCTGAATTTCTTTTTGTGATCTTTACAGGATCAGATGTCTTATTTTTAGAAGATCCGGCAACATTGTATGATATATCTATTATGTAATTTATAATACATGTTAGGTATATATTTAATTACAATTTGCAATGTACTTAAACTATTTTTACATTAAATTAATAGTATGAAAATGTATTTTCTAAAAAAACGTTATTACCTCTTTCATCTACAACAGCATCCACATTCATTAATAATGTAAATTGTGACTCTTTTTCAATTTGAATAATCTTATAAAGTGAACATAAAATGTAGAGGATAACATTTTTAAACATTTTTATTTATGAATCAATTATTATTTTAAAAAGTTGACTAATATTAATTTTAACACATTAATTTTAATTTTAGATTCTGAGTGAAACGATGAATGTATTGATTTTACAATGGTGTGTGTTTTTTTATTTTTTTAATTTCTTATTTTTTTATTTTTTTTTGTATCTGTGTACACGATAAGTAGTCGAAATAATGCTTCGATTTTCGACTTCAGTATCTTGTTCGATTGGAAAGTGAATATCGTTGGTGCATTGGGGAGGTCAAAATTTAAATTTCCCAGTAGTTTTCACAAGCGCCGGGAAAAACAACATAAAAATTAAGGAAAAACGGGAATTTTTACGCAAAATTGATTTTCCAAAAAATCGATTTTGGTTATTGGTGTAACTCTAAAACAAATGAACGTATATACATGAAATTTTCACTGGTTGTTTATATTTGCATTTTTATACACGATAACATTTTCAAAATATTTTGATTTATTTTGAACTGTTTAGGGACATTTTCATTTTCCATTTTTTTTTAGTTTTTTTTCTAAAAATTTCAATAAAATTTTATTTGTTGGTTGCGAAAGCTTGAAAATTTAATAGAAGGCTCCTAATATGTTGTTTCAAAGGCAGATGAAAAATATTAAAAATCCTTAGTCAAAATTTTTTTTTATAAGCATTTAAAGTTCAAAAATTGACAAAATATGGAAAAATCACGAAAATTAGCAAATTATTTTGAGTTAAGAATTCGTAAAAATTTTTCTTTTTAAATCTAAGATTTGAAAATCTAATACAAGATTACTCATAAGATTGTCTACCTTTATCAATAAAAAAATTTCTACCGGAAAGTCAAATTAAATTTTTATGAGCGTTTGAAATTCAAATTATTACAACATTGGATATTCACTCGATTTCTCATGTGGCAATTTCCTTTTTTTGTTGTAATTAAAAAACGAATTACTGTAGATACATGAAAATTTCACTGAATGTTTATATTAGCATTTCCTATACACCCTACAATTTTGAAAATATTTTGACACTTTTTGAGCCGTTTACGGACATTTTCAGTTTTCAATTTTTTTAGTTTTTTTTTTCTATAAATATCAATTAAGTTTTATCTGTTGGGCCAAAAAGTGTAAAAATTTAATACAAGGCTCCTGATATATTGTTACAATATCAGTTGAAAAATATTAAAAATACATAGGCACAATTTTTTTTTATAAGCATTTTAACATCGAATTTTGATAGAATTTTTCAAAATCTCGAAAATTATTAATCATCGTAATTAATAAATTATAAAATGTTCAGTTTTTATAGCTAAGGATTGAAAATTTAAAACAAGATTCCACGTAAGTAGTTAATTCTCTTACCGAAAAATCTAAAAAATATACAATCACAGTTTACTTTTATAGTCATTTTATGTTCAAATTTGGACGAAATTACATATTAAAAAACCTAGTTATTTTGTTGTGATTATATAATATTATTCGTGGGTACCTACTTGAAACTTCTAAAGTGTACTATTATATATATATGATAGTATCAGGGTTTGTTGTTGATGTTGATGTATAACGTGTTATAAGTACCTAATGGATGGGCGCATGTAAACTCCACCGATTGCGACCTTTTTAGACCTTTTTTCATGTAAATTCCACCGGTAAATTTTTATTACCTGAAAAAAAAATGTAAACTCCACCGGTACATTTTTTTTACCTGAAAAAAAAAATGTAAACTCCACTGGTATGTTTTTTTTTTAAAATTGTAATCCAAATCCAATCTGATTAACTAAGGTTACATAATTTATGTGGGTGCAGTTTTATTATAATATATTTATTGTATTTAAATACAATGATTTAAAAAAAAATCATATAAAAATCAAATAGCAATAATAGAAAATTGAAAAATATATAATTATTAATTAACAATAATTTAAAAAAAAAATCATATAAAAATCAAATAGAAAAAAATAGAAAAATCTATAATTTTTTAACATTACGTTATAGGTAATACGTTCCTACATAATTTATGTATTGATTTATTATTTATATATATTATATTTAGATACTTATATCTTTTTTTACACAATATTAAAATAAATGATATAATAATAATTAATAGTGATCACTAGTACGTAGTTAAAATAATGTTAATTAAAATAAATGAATAAAAAAATAATTACTTAAAGAAAATTTAGGTTTTAAAAAAATTTGTTTGGTTTTAAAATTTGGGTTGATAATGTTTAGATGCAGCTTTAAAGTCGTTAAGATGAAGTTTAAGATAAGTCAGTCGAAAGTTGATGTGTATACACTATACATATAGTTTTGATTTGTGGATTTTACCATCGGTGGAGTTTACGTGTTTTCAGGTCAAAAATACGTATCGGTGGAGTTTACATTTTTTTTTCAGGTAAAAAAAATGTATCGGTGGAATTTACATGTTATAAATCCAACCCTAAAATCGACTACCTGTAAATCGGTGGAGTTTACAATCGCCCTAATGGATATTGTGATAATGTGATATGATTAATTTGGAATTTATTATAGGTCAATTTTTTTTTTAATACCATAGATATGAGCTCCGTGAAGTTAGCCGCACAATGTCAAAATTTTGACTCCAAATTTTGTAAATAATTTGTAAGTCATTTGTAAGTATTTGTAAGCACAATTTGGTAATTTGTAAGTACAGCCGTTTTCAATTATCCTCAAAAGTTTAAATCACGGCTAACTTTCGCGAAACTTGGCCGTTTCGACATTTCAAAGCTTTTGACTACTCCAAATCGTCAAGGGCATTTTGTAAGTATTTGTAAGCACGAATTTAGAATTTGTAAGTCATCCCTTCCTTAATTATCCCTGAAAGAAAGTTGGCCGTGCTTTGTCGAGCTTTTCGAACTTTGACTGTTCCAAATTGTCAAGGGCAATTTGTAAGTATTTGTAAGCACGAATTTAGAATTTTGTAAGTCATCCCTTCCTTAATTATCCCTGAAAGAAAGTTGGCCGTGCTTTGTCGAGCTTTTCGAACTTTGATTGTGCCAAATCGTCAAGGGCAATTTGTAAGTATTTGTAAGCACGAATTTAGAATTTGTAAGTCATCCCTTCCTTAATTATCCCTGAAAGAAAGTTGTATTTATCTGTAAGTAAATATCTTATTTTATTAATATGAATAACACGATTATTTATTTTAATATATACAAATCTCTTACCTGTAATTAAATAAACGAAAATTTAAAGCCTATACTTAAAGGTTTTAATAATTATAAAGTTTTATATTAAGTATAATATTATTATATTAGTTTTTATGTTAACCCTTCTTGACCTTATATCAACCTGTTGTAATCATTAGACACAGTGTGGTTGATAACAGCAGACACCAT